GACCGGACCCAAAAAAACCAAACAATATATGTATATATAAGCAATATATATATATATATATATATAGTATATATATATAAAACAATATATTATCTGTAAATAGTTGTCAATAGATTTCAGTTTAACATGTCCATTTATGTCTATGATACATCTTGATCACTGTCACCCTTTATCGCTGTCACTATCACTATCATTTCTGCTGCCCCCACTCTCCCCCATCTCCACTTATCTCTGTAGGTTTCCTAGTTTAATTTTCAGGTATGTATGTTGAATGACTACTCACCTACAGGGCTGAGATCTGAGAATCACAGTTCAAAGGCAGCCTGGGCAGGAAAAGCCGAGAAACTCTTTTTTTTTTGGGTCCGGTCGTGGAGCCTGAAATCTGGGCCTGGGCGCTGTCCCTCAGCTCTTCAGCTCAAGGCTAGTGCTCTACCACTTGAGTCACAGCGCCACTTCTGGCTTTTTTCTTTTTTCTTATGTGGTGCTGAGGAATCAAACCCAGGGCCTCATGCATGCAAGGCAAGTGCTCTACCACTGAGCCACCTTCCCAGCCCCAGGGCTTTTTTCTTAACAACCTTCTTTTTTCTTTTTCTTTTTTATTGGTCATGGGGGTGAACTTAGGGTTTGGGTAGCTTTTTTGTTCAAGTCTAGCACTCTGCCACTTTAAGCCACAGATCCACTTCTGGTTTTCGGGTAGTTAATTAGAGATAATAGTCTCATGGTCTTTCTTGCCCTGGCTGGCTTTGAACCATTATCCTCAGATCTCAGCCTCCTGAGTAGCTAGGAATACAGGAATCCACACAACCTTCATTTTTTAGTTTAGTTTGAATCTTTAATTACTGTCAATTGTGGGGCTTGAACTCAGGGCCTGGGCACTGTCTCTGAATTTTTTTTTTTTGTTGGTCATGGGGCTTGAACTCTGGGCCTTGGTGCTGTCCTTGCAGTCTTCAGCTCAAAGCATACGCTGTACCACTTAAGCCACAGTGCCACTTCCGGTTTTCTGGTGGTTTATTGGAGATAAGAGTCTCACACTTTCCTGCCAGGCTGGCTTTGATCTCAGCCTCCTGAGTAGCTAGGATTACAGGTGTGAGCCACCAGCACCCTGTGGCCTGGGCACTGTCCCTGAGCTTTTTTTTGCTTAAGGCCAGCACTCTACCACTTGAGCCACAGCACCATTTCCGGCTTTTTCTGTGTGTATGGTACTGAGAAATCAAACCTATGGCTTCATGCATGCTAGGCAAACACTCTACCACTAAGCTACATTCCCAGCACTGAATTGAAGATTTTTTTAGTTGTATCTTTTTTTTTTTTTTTGTCGGTCGTGGAGCTTGAACTCTGGGCCTGAGTGCTGTCCCTCAGCTCTTCAGCTCAAGGCTAGCGCTCTACCACTTGAGCTACAGCGCCATTTCTGGTTTTCTGGTTGTTTATTGGAGGTAAGAGTTTCACAGAGTTTCCTGGCTGGACTGGCTTTGAACCACAATCCTCAGATCTTAGCCTCCTGAGTAGCTAGGATTATAGGCATGAGCCACTGGCTCCCAGGTTTAGTTGTATCTTGAACTAGTCTGCTCTTCCAGAGAATTCAAGGAAAGCCAAGTAGTCAGATTCATAGCATAAGATGTACTCATCTGTCTTGGTATTACATTTTGTCTTGAGTTCTGAAATGTTTAGTCATGCTTGTAACATTATTTAGGTTAAACATGTTTATCCTCTGGATAATCAAATATTAACCATCCTTTTCTCTTAATTCTCTTGGTAGGTTTGCCAGGATGGTGGATAAGAATATTTACATCATTCAAGGGGAGATTAACATTGTGGTTGGAGCTATCAAACGAAATGCCCGATGGAGCACCCATATACCACTGGTAAGTGGGGATATGCAGATACCCTGGCTACTGAGTTGTGGTAGGGGATTTTTGTGTGATGTGCATGTGTGTTGGTACTAGAGCTTGAACTCAAGACCTCCTATTCTTGCTTGACTTTTTTGTTCTAGGTTGATTTTCTACTACTTGAGCCATATGTCCACTTTCAGCTTTTTTACTGATTAGTTGGAGATCAGAGTCTCATGAACTTTTCCACTCAACTGACTTTGAAACTTGATCTTAGATCTTAGCTTCCTGAATAGCTAGGTTTACAGGCATGAGCTGCCAACACTAAGCTTGTTATAGGGAATCTTGTCCTTGGTTAAAATAATAATCAAGTTCTTAGCAATAATGAAAATAATAGGAGGGCTGGGAAGGTGGCTCAGTGGTAGAGTGCTTGCCTTGCATGCATGAGGCCCTGGGTTCAATTTCTTAGCACCACATAAAAAGCCAGTAAAATTAAAATTAAAAAGAAAAGAAAAAGCCAGAAGTGGCATTATGGCTCAAGTGGTAGGGTGCTCGCATTCAAGCCCCACAACTGACAAAAAAAAAAGGAATTCAGAGTTATTCTTTTTTTTTTTTCTTGTCGGTTGTGGGGTTTGAACTCTGAGCTTGGGCGCTGTCCTTGGGCTCTTTAGCTCAAGGCGAGCATTCTACCCCTTGAGCCACAGTACCACTTCCGGTTTTCTAGAGGTTTATTGGAGATAAGAGTCTCACGAACTTTCCTGCCTGGGCTGGCTTTGAACTGTGTTCCTCAGATCTCAGCCTCCTGAGCAGCTGGGATTACAGGCGTGAGCCACCCATGCCTGGCTCAGATGCAATCTTACTAACTTTTTCCATATGTAATTCTCCTAGGTATGTACTGAGTAATTACAGGTATGTGTCACACTCCTGGCATCTCCATCATTTTTTAAAATAATTTCAGCTCATGAGAATATGTATTTGATATGGGCTCTGGTGGCTCATGCCTGTAATCCTAGCTATTCAGGAAGCTGAGATCTGAGGATTATTGTTTGAAGCCAGCCAGGGGAAGGAAAGTCCATGAAACTTTTCAGTTAACCACCTAAAACTAGAAGTGGAGCTGTAGCTCAAAGTGATAGAGTGCTAGCCTTGAGCAGAAAACCTCAGGGACAGGGCCCAGGCCCTGAGTTCAAGCCCCATGATCAACAAAAACAAAACAAAACAAAAAAGCTTAGAGACAGTGCCAAGGCCCTGAATTAAACGCCACATCTGACCAACAACAACAACAAAAATATATTGGGGTGGGAATGTGGCTTAGAGGTATAGTGCTTGCCTAGCCTGTACGTAGTTCTGGGTTTGATTCCTCAGTACCACATAAGCAGAAAAAGCTGGAAGGGCACTGTGGCTCAAGTGCTAGCCTTGAGCAAAAGAAGCTCAGGGACAGTGTCCAGGTCTTGAGTTCAAGGCCCAGGACTGGCAAAAGAAAAAAAAATAATTTATTGAAGCAACAGACAAACTTTATATATTTGGGCCATCTTTAATATGCCAAAATGTCAGATTCCTCATTTCCTAAGTCCTTCATGCTACTATCAACTATTAAATTTATTTAAGTAGTTTACTTATTGACACATAAAATATATCTTTATGATGATGCTCATTATAGAATGAAAACATCCACATATAAAGCAGGCCATATTTTGCCAAACAGATGAATAAGATGGTTACCTGTGATAAAGTTGCCTTTTTTGTTGTTGCTCATGTGTATACAAGGATATTTTGTTTTTGTTTTTGTTTTTTAATTTATTTTTTATTGTGAAAATACTGTACAGAGGGGTTACAATTACAAGGGCAAGATAATGAGTACATTTCTTATCTAGCATTGTAGCCTCCTCCTTTGTTTACCCTTCCCATCCCTTCCCAGCCTCCCCCACCCCCCAATCCTCCCCCTCCTACAAGGATATTTTGTGTGTGTGCAGGTTCACAGTTTGAAGTCAAAGCCTGTGCTCTTATGGCTTTTTTGTTGGTGGTGGTGGTTGTGGGGCTTGAACTCAGGGCCAGGATGCTATCACTGAGCTCTTTTGAACCACAGCTCCACTTCCCATTAATTGGAGATAAGAGTCTCACAGACTTTGCTGCCCTAGCTGAGTTTTCTTTTTGGGTCTAGTTGTGGGGCCTGAACTCTGGGCCTCTTCAGCGCAAGGCTAGCGCTCTACCACTTGAGCCACAGCGCCACTTCCAGCTTTTTTCTTTTTTCTTATATGGTGCTGAGGAATCGAACCCAGGGCCTCATGCATGCAAGGCAAAGACTCTACCACTGAGCCACCTTCCCAGCCACCCCTGGCTGATTTCTATCCACAATCCTCAGATCTCAGCCTCTTGAATAGCTAGATTACAGGTGTGAGCAACTGGCGCATGACTTCTCATGGCTTTCTTGTTATGGCTGTTACTCTTCCTTTTGGCCATGCTTCCAGTTCTGGCTTTTTGCCAGTTAATTGGAGATAAAGAGTTTCTTGGATTTGATGGCCAGACTGGCTGCATCTTCAAATATCAGCTTCCTTACTAATTAGGATTACAGTCATCAGCCACTAGTACCTGGCAACAGTTTTTAGCACAGTTATGTAGAACATTTTGACAGTGTGTGGAGCATATTTGGTAAATATGTTTGCAGTTTTTTTATAAAAATTGATTGGTTTAGAAGTGGGAATAGAATCAGGAATGTCTTTGAAATGAATATTATATATGATGTGATCACATAAATATGAATATAATTACATAATGAATATGAAGGTGAGGAGATAGAATAATACAGGTATTAAAGGACCTGGCAATCTGGTGGTATGAATGGTTGGTAATGGTGTAGATTAGCATGAAAGGATTCACTTATGTGGATAAGCTCAAAGAATCTATGAGAAAAGAGATTAAGAAACAAGAAAATTAGAAACCATAACTTAGTTTTTTTTTTTGGTCAGTTGTGGGTCTTGAACTCAGGGACTGGGTGCTGTTGCTGAGCTTTGTTGCTCATGGTGCCACTGGCTTCTAAGTTTCTTTTTCTCATAAGAAAACTTACTGGAGCTGGAGGCCATTGGCTCATGCCAGTGAACGTGGCTACTCAGGAGGCCGAGATCTGAGGATCGTGGTTTAAAGCCAGCCTAGGTAGGAAAGTCCATGAGATTCCTATCTCCACTAAAAAAGCCAGAAGTGGAGCTGTGGCTGAAGTGATAAGCTCTAGCCTTGAGCACAGGGACAGTGCCCAGGCCCAGAGTTCAAGCCCCAGGGCCAAGAAAAAACCAAAATAAAAAATACTCCAACTTACTGGATTTTCTGGATTGATTCAGAGGTAAAAAAAAAAAATCCTTTAGAACCCTTGATTTATATTTTCTCTTGTGTCTTTTGGCTTGATAACACGTTTTATTTTTAACCTGTGTATTCCATAGGATGAAGAGCGGGATCCTCTGCTGCATAGTTTCAGTCATCTAAAGGAAGTTTTAAACAGTATAACAGGTAAGTGTCCACATGTAGCCAGGGTTACTAATCTTCATAAGAATGTATATGGAGACTGGGAAGGAATCTTAGTAGTATAGTACTTGCCTAGCATGCATGAAGCCTTGAGTTCAATTCTTCATAACCACATACACAGAAAAAGCTAGAAGTAGTGCTGTGGCTCAAGTGGTAGAGTGCTAGCCTTGAGCAAAAGAAACTCAGAAACAGTGCCCAGGCCCTGAGTTTAAGCACCAGGACTGGCAAAAAAAAAAAAAAAAGAATATGTAATTGATTTATTGCAGCAGTAGACAAATTTTATGTGAAGGACCATATAGTAAATAGTTTAGACTTTGCAGATCATGTATATACTAGCTACTCAACTCTGTATTTATAGCTCAGAACTAGCTGTGAGTAATATGTACATGAATGAATAATATGTTTTCTTTTTTTAAAAAAAGTTTTAAGCCACATTTGGCCCATAGGTATAAATTTTTTAGCATTTAGTTTATTGTATTGCTTTCATTCTTAATGATCTTTCAGTTTTCCTGTGTTCTCAGAATCTTTCTTTCTTTTGTTTTCCTAATCATAATAACCCTATGTAGTATTTTTAATATGTTTTCAATACCTTTATTAAATTCTTTTTTTTTTTTGGTCATGGGGCTTGAACTCTGGGCCTGGGTGCTGTCTATCAGCTAGCTCTTCCGCTCTACCACTTGAGCCACAACTCCACTTCCATTTCTCCGTCTTGGTTGGTTTGATTTCAGCTTAATTTTAATCTCAGAGACCAGTGGTGAGTGATGTAGTCCTAGTCTAAGATTTGGGGCTCTCTTTGGAACACCCTTGCAGTTAGTGTTTGCCCGAGCTGTGATGCCTTAAGAGCTATCAGTTAGGTCTGCTGCCTATTTTTCTTATGTTCTTGGGTTAGGAATCCAGCCAGATTATCTGCTTGGAATTAATAAACCAGAATGTGTTAAGGTGCCAGTTCTGTCAGTGATATAAGAACGTAGCTGGGTGTTGCTAAACTTTCCTGATAACTGTGAAAGAAAGTATTGGTGTTTTCTAAGGCCAGTAGCTGTGACAGATGTTGAAATGGTACTTTCCAAGGTTATCCATTTATTCGTGAGTTTTAGCATATTACTTGCATTAGAAAATGACTTTATGGACCCAATATGTAACATTTTATGAGTTTCAGATTGGTTCTGACCCACCACAGTCCTAGCTTCCAGGAGCAGGTTTAAGGTTCAGCTGCCCCTGTGGTCCTGGACTTTGCAGTCCATGACCAATTTCTTGTTTCTTTTACAGAAACAAACAGATTTTTCTGATTGGCAGTGTCAGGAGGACTGCTTTCTTGGAAGCCTTTTAATGGTAGGAGGCTGGGAAAGGGTTTTCAACTTGGAGAGAGAAACTGAAGTGATTGTGTCTACATTATGTGACTGGCTATTCCAGTTAGATTGGGGCTGCCAGCAACTCTAGCCCTTCTACTCAGTTGTAACTCATGAAACTGACTTGGGCTTAAGCCCATTTTTGCAAAAGCTGTCCACATTTTATGCTATTCGCCTAGAACATGACTTTTGGAAATGGTAATTTGTTGGGCATTTGTCAGTAAGCCCAAAGGATCTATTTTCCTTTTGTAAATAAAGATCTTTTACGTACATAAGCACTACCTACTCCTCCAAGGTACTATCTGGTAACTATGAACGATGGAAATCTGTTATCTCCAGTAAGGCTGGCTAAGTCCATACCAGTTATTCTTACAGATAAGTATCTTTGGAATATCCACATGCTGACTTCATGCTCCATAGCGTTTAGAGTAATAGAATATTAGACTACCAATCTGAAGAGAAAGTTATACTTGGGAAGAAAAAGGGTGTTAAAGAACAAAGTTTGTGCTGAGTGGTGGTGCATGCCTGTAATCCTAGCAACTTTCCAGATCCAGTAGGATTGTGAGTTCAAGGTCAACCTGGGCAGAAGTTAGTGGAACCCTGTTTCAAACAAACAGCCTAAAAAGTTTGTGCATGCATGCATGCATGTGTGTGTGTGTGTGTGTGTGTGTGTGTGTGTGTGAGGGTGTTATATTAAGTGATAGAACACTCAACTAACAAGTATGAATTTCTAGGTTTAATTCCTAGTGCTTCCCAAAATAAAACAGTAACAAAGTTTGCATATTGTTACTTTGGATAAAACGTACACTAGTAATAGAGACTTTATTACTTCCCTTCATTTGCTCTTCAGGTTTTCTTAGACTCCTTTTAGGAAGTTATTCCAAAGATATGTGGTTATTAGGGCTGTAAGTACGCCTGTAAACCTAGCAACTCAGTAGGCTGAGATCTGAGGATCATGGTTCAAAGCCTAGGCAGGAAAGTCTGTGAGACTTTTTTTTTCTGCCAGTTGTGGGGCTGAACTCTGCCTAGGTACTGTTCTTGGGCTCCTTTTTGCTCAAGGCTAGCACTCTACCACCTGAGCCACTGAACCACTTCCAGTTTTCTGGTGGTTAATTGGAGAGAAAAGTCTCTGTCTTCCCTGCCTTGGCTGGCTTTGAACTGCGATCCTTAGATCTTAGCCTCCTTAGTAACTAGGATTACAGGCATGGGCCACTGGTGCCTGGCTTGTCCTCAAGACTCTTATCTCCGTTTAAAAGACTCTAATCTCCAATTCCAGAAAACTGGAAGCCCTATGATTGACCAAAAAAAACAAAAAAATTGTACAGGGTTTCTTTTGAGTGTGACAGAATGTTCTAGAATCGGTAATGATTATACAACTCTGTAAATATACAAGAAAACTATTGAAAAAAAAAGAAAACTATTGAATTGTATACTTTACAAGGCAGTTCTATGATATGTGAATAAAGTCAACATCTTATACTGTTGCCTAGGCTGGCCTCAAATTTCTGAGCACAGGTGATCCTCCTGTCTCAGTCTCCTGAGTAGATAGAATTGTAGGCCTGTAGCAATGCACCTGGCTTCATAGTTCAAAATTTTTGTTATTGTTTCTTTTTTTTTCCAGAGCTGAGGACCCAACTCAGGACCTTGCGCTTGCCAGGCGCTCTTCTGCTGAGCTAAACCCCCAGCCCCTTGTTTTTTTTGAAACAGGGTTTTACTATGTAATCCAGGCTGACTTAGAACTAACTGTGCAAGCCAGGCTGGCCTGGCCATAGTTGAAAATTTTGAAAAAGCAAATATAGGGTGCAAAAGTAATAGATTCTTACTTCTTTCTCCAGGCCCAGAACTCTAGAGGAATGCCTTTGAGTGTAGTTGCTGCTGAACTTTGGACCCATTGCCCAGCAAAGGCAGCCTAAGGCTCTGTTCAGCCTCCTGGCCCAGTTTGTCCTTTTATGTCTCTCTCATTAACTCAAGGAAGCACATGGCTTTTATATTTAAATTTATTCAAGCTGTAATCTTTGACATTTGAGTTAGCTTTTAGTACAGTTTTGCATTTATAGTAATATATATTATGTATTTTCTCTATCCCCAAAGAATCCGTTTTAATCTTTTCCGGATGCAAATTTCAGGCTGTCTTGTCCCATCTTCCCTTTCTTGCTCTCTTTCCCCTCCCCCTATGGAGTGTGTTTGATCAGGTGTGGCAGGAATATCCACTGTCAAGCTGCGCCCTTTATATTAGTCAATATTATCCTTCTCCCCCCTCCCTGTCTGTCTGCCCCTTTGGGCTTTCCCAGTTGATTTATAATTTTGGAATTCTCATCGGAGTCTGTAATACAGTTTGTTCATTATTTAACCAAAACCTGTTTAATGAGCAGAGAGAGGCAATGTAAATGTTAGGCATGTTGCAGTGATGTACCTTTGTGCTTCACAGAACTGGTGGGTAGTTAACTCTGTGCTGCCTGCAGGGCTGGGGTATCTTGGGTTCAGGGGGTAAAAGGGCTATTGCCTCTCCATTATCCAGGACCTACCATGGGTTTAGATTATGAGGACACATTTCCTTTCATTCTTGTGGGGATCTTGCATATTGGACTGTTATGGTCAGTCTCATAGATAGAGACTGTGGTAGGTACGCAGGGAATAGAAGCGTGGAAAGGAAAACAGAATCTTTTTTTTTTTGTCGGTCGTGGGGCTTGAACTCTAGGCCTGAGCGCTGTCCCTCAGCTCTTCAGCTCAAGGCTAGCACTCTACCACTTGAGACACAGCACCACTTCCGGTTTTCTGGTGATTTTTATTGGAGATAAGAGTTTCAGAGAGTTTCCTGCCCGGGCTGGCTTTGAACCGAGATCCTCAGATCTCAGCCTTCTGAGTAGCTAGGATTACAGGTGTGAGCCAGAATCTTGATCCAAGTTTTGTTTTGTTTTTGGTGCTGGTCCTAGGGCTTGAATTCAGAGCTTGAGTGCTGTCCTTCAGCTTCTTTTCACTCAAGGCTAGCATTCTGCCACTTGAGCCATACCTCCACATCTGGCTTTTTGGTAATTTATTGGAGATAAGAGTCTTATGGGCTTCCTTGTCTGATCTGGCTTCAAACTGTGATCCTCAAATCTCAGCCTCCTGAGTAGCTAGGATTACAGGCATGAGCCACTGATACCTGGGAAGTTTTTTTTTTCTAGAAAATTCTTGGTTTACAGCCCCAAAGAGAAGAACATTCTAACAGCCAAAACCTTCTTTTATGAGATTTTCTCTCTCTGTGTCTCTATGTCTTTTTCTTTGTCTCCTGTTATTGTTTGTTGGGGAATTGAACATGGGTTCTTAGCTGGGATTATAGGCATGATCCATTGGTGCTTATCTATAATGATTTTTTTTTTTTTGGTCAGTTGTGGGGCTTGAACTTAGGGCTTGGGTGCTGTCTCTGAGCACCCAAAGTGCTCAAGGCTAGTACTAGCCTACCATTTTGAGCCATGACATCATTTCCTGTTTTCTGGTGGTTAATTGGAGATTAGAGTCTTACGGGGACTTTCCTGCTCAGGCTTACTTTGAACCACGATCCTCAGAGCTCAGCTTCCTGCATAGTTAGGATTACAAGCATGAACCACCAGTGTCCAGCTATTATGATTTTTATGTCATTATACAAAGGGGTTTCAG